TGGGAGCTGGATGCCAGGTTGTATCTGGCTCTGACAAGCCTTGTTATGTGGTAGACACTGTCAAACTTAAGACTGTTATAGCACATTCCTCCAGGAAGTTCGCAGTCAAAAATTTGGGCGTAGACAGACCAGTGGGAAAGTCACTCCAGCGTCTGGGAATTCGGTGTTGAGACTAAAACAGTGGCAGGGGAACAAGAAGGAAACAGTCAGTGTGAGCGATGCTATGAACCAATTAACGGAATTTGACTGTGTGGGCAGGGAGGAGAGAATGTCAAGCTGACTCTGGGTCTTAGTGCCCAGGCATCTCGGAGTGTGATTGACAAGATACAAAAGTCCAGAGGAGCTGGTTCCTCCCTCCGCACTGTAGCCTCTGTGTCTTCGTTTGCAGCTTTCACATTTTATTTGTCTCTCAGTCTCTACTCTGGTCAAGTTGCCTCAAGTACATTCCTCTGCCACGGTTTTATTATCTGAGAATGGAATTCCCACCCACAGAGATCCCATGGTCCTTTCTGGTGCACTTTCGCCCGACTGCAGATTACGTCATCCGTTTCATCAAATTCTATCCGGTGCATCCTTCTCTCCAGCTTGGCACCCTTGTCCCAAGCCATATGCTTGTCGCTTGCCAGGGGTGCAATCTGTTATTATTTTCAACAATAATAAGCATCTTATGTTTCCAAGCATTCCTGTTTGTCCACTTGTTTGTTTCCCCTTCTTGCTCATAATTCAGTTTGATTTGACTTTTCTATTAATTCCTTTAACTCCTAATTGAACTGGTGAAATCAGGTACATTTTCATACCCAGTGAATAAAAAAAAGTCCCCGGAACCAATTTAAAGGACCAATGTTTTTAAAAAAATATTTTAGATATCCATTTTTCTTGATTTTCAACTGGAAAATTCCATCTCTTTTCCCCATTTGTTAATGCCAGTTTTATTTAATTTCAAGGAGGAAGCCCAGTCTCTGTATGAATTCCATCTTCTAGTAAAGATCCTCTTGTGTCCTCTCCTACCCTAAACAGTCACCTCTTTACACACACACACACACACATACACACACATGCATGTGTGCATGTGCGCTCCTGAGACCCTCCAGTTCTTCAAGGCCCTGCTGTGCTAGGATGATAAACAGTTATGAAAACCACACCTTATCTATGTTCCAGTCTGTTGCCTGGCCCAGCTCAGTTCCATCCCCAAATCTGGCTTCTAACAATTCCACAAGTCTGACCACCACCTCCTCCTGTCCCCAAAATAATCTGCCCACACATACTCTGTTAACTCAGTCCTTGCATTTTACGGCAAGTCACCTTCAACCTTTTGTAAGGAGCACAAGCTCAACAGGTATTTGCTTAAATCCTAGAGATGAACCCTGGTCTGTGTTAATCCACAGTCGGTAACTAGCTGTGTGACAGCAGGCAAATCATCTCCCCTCTGCAGGCTCCACTGAGACAAGTAAGGGTGTGAGACACAAAGATCTTTAGGGTTCTTTTGACGCCAACAGTGGATGAGTCTCTCATCCTCACCACAAATCGATCTCAACAAGAAAACCCTCTAGAAGTGGCTGGAAGAGTCCCATCCAAGGGTCCCTCCTTTCTCTGCCTTCTGCATTTTCCTTTTTCTCCCTGGGACTGTCTACTTCTCTGATGGCGAAAGTCTCTTGCTGACTTTGTGGTCTCTACCACAGTAACTCATGGTCTGTCACTCACAGCCACCCTTTCCAGAGGAGAATGAACTTTCTCCCTGGTGTTTGGGAGCCCCCTGGTCTGTGAGCAGATTTAGAACCTCCATCTTACTCAGTGGAATAAAGTGACTCAGCTCCCACTCTCCTTCTGAATTTCCATCTGCATTGTTCAGAGATAATTGCCCTCTGAGAGGCCTGGTTAAACTGCCAGGAAAATATTTATCTGCTCATTGGTGCTCCTGGGGAACTTTGTGGGCCAGACTCAGGCCCCTCCCTGTAGCAGGCTCTGCCCTCAGGCCCATGACTCATCCTCCAAGTAGCAGGGATCAGTAGTCACTCCCTTGGAGCTCCTTCACCAGCTTAGAAAACGTTTATAGCACACACCAACCCAGCTCCTTTCCTCCACACATTCCCTGTTCACAGGCCACCCAGAAAGAATAAACACCCTCATCCACTCACCTGCATTCCCCAGTCTTCTTTGTGCCTGGAGCCTCGTTTTTGCAATCCTCCCTGGGAATTCAGCAGAATGAATGGATGCTTTGCTTCACCCTCTTCTGAGGAATAGGCTAGAGAAATGCCCACTCTGTAATTGCCATTTAAAATGGGAGGGTTGGGGCGCCTGGGTGGCTCAGTTGGTTAAGCGACTTCCTTCGGCTCAGGTCATGATCCTGGAGTCCCGGTCCCGCATCGGGCTCCCTGCTCAGCAGGGAGTCTGCTTCTCCCTCTGGCCTTCCTCCCTCTCATGCTCTCTGTCTCTCATTCTCTCTCTCTCAAATAAATAAATAAAATCTTTAAAAAAAAATTAAAAAAATAAAAAATAAAATAAAATGAGAGGGTTGGAGGAAGTGGGTCAAAAACTTCTAAGTACAGAGAATGTTCTCAGCACATTTGAATCATGACTTGAGTTTGGCATCGGTTCCTCTTTAGCTCATTTGCCTGTAACCTTTGGCCTCTCTGCACACCTGATTTCAGTTTATTTATTTATTTTTTATTTATTTATTTGAGACAGAGAGAATGAGAGAGAGAGAGAGCACATGAGAGGGGGGAGGGTCAGAGGGAGAAGCAGGTTCCTTGCTGAGCAGGGAGCCCCATGCGGGACTCGATCCAGGGACTCCAGGATCATGACCTGAGCCGAAGGCAGTCAGTCGCTTAACCAACTGAGCCACCCAGGCGCCCCTCCCTGATTTCAGAGTTTAAAGATTACATTAAACAACAGCTTTGGAGTTGCTGTAATCATGCAGCTACCGAGTCGTGTTTACAGCAAATGGAGCTCTAGGGTCACCGAACCTGTTAGTGATAGAACCAAATCACCACCACCAAAAGACATTAATATAGAGGTTTGAAAAACCACATACAAACATGCACACAAGTCTTAACGATGTGTCTTAGGGTGGGTGGATGAGAAACAGGTGTGTCTGGAAAGGGCCACTATACCAAAATACTGGATTTCTAATTTAACTTCATTAACCAGAAGAGGCTATGATAAGGGGAGTAGCACTTAATACTTAAAAGCATACAGTCTATTATGGGTAGAGCAATGTGAGATCCCAAAGAAAACTGGGCTTATGTCAAGGGGATAAATATATGTATGAAAGAAGGGGAGCCAGAGAGTATAATTTCCTTTAGATTTTTCAAAGGCTTTTAAACAACTCCTAGTCCAAAGACTAAAAAAAAAAAGTTTTAAGATCAGTCATCATGGGACCAAAAGCCATTTTGCTTTGAATCGTGGATATAGAAGTTGCTTAAGAGACAGAAAGAAAACAAAATTAGGGGAAATAACTACATCTCAAACCGTGAGCCTTCCAGATATTAACACGTAGGCTGATATTACTAAAATCATTATAAATGACCATGACAGAGCAAATGGTACACAATAAAAATCTTAAGCTCATAGTTAACTGTAAGTGAAAAGTTGATAGTGAAAATAAACTTTAAGGAAGAGCTAAGCTGTGTTAGTGATAAAAGTGACAGATGGAAATTCAATGTGGTTAAGGACACGAAGGAAATAATTCAGCATAAATCTACGTGATGCTAAGCTCCAAGTATGTTACAATTCAGAAAAGGACCATAAAGAACTACTGTTGATCTCTCCTGAAGACACTACCCTTGGGCATGGTTTTGCTTAAAAAAAAAAAAAAACACCCCCAAACCAAAACACTGTATATTCATACATGCCTCAAATGCCATTCTGTCCAAAAAGTGTTGGTAAATGGTTGTTTTCACAATCTCTTATAAGAAATTGCTGTTTCTAAGACAGTGATGCCAATCAGAATTAAAGAATAAGTTGAGTTAAATTCGGAAATCCAAAGAAAGAAGGAACAATTAAGTAGATGTACCCAGTTCTCCAAAACCCAAAGTATAGGAAATTTAGTAATTCAACTGAGTAGAGGTGACTCATATCTAAGTTCTTGTTTGTTTCATTTTTGTTTTTCAAACCAAGGACCTAAAGACAGGGAGAAGCCAGTTGTCTTTTAATTTCCCGGGTTAGGGGAAGAGTAACCCAATGAAATGAATACAGATTAAATATCTAAAGACAGTTTCAGTCTTACAGATGTCAGCTTCAAAGGCACTCAGAAAGCCTTAGCAACTTCACACAAAGAAGCAGTCATTCAACCAAAAAAAATTATTTGCCTGTGTATCATCAGAAGTTTTCATTTTACCTCTTTGGGAAAATAAGGGAGAATTTGCCTATAAAATATAAGGTTGGATACAGCTCTGTTTGAGCCATATGGCCAGTATTCAAATGCTGGTTTGAACAAATACTTTGGATTATATTAATTATTACTGCTATTAAGGAGCACCACTTGTTAGTTTACATACAATATATACATAGTATATCATATATTAATAACAAAAAGCTGGCTTTATGAAAATAGTGAAAACTTCAACTGAACTTCTCTAAAACCATCCCCATTTTAGATTTTTTAGTAGTGTTAACTTGTTTAGGATAAATATTAGTCCCATCCCAGTTACTATAGTGATAACTTTTCTAAAAATTAAGCAAGCTAATTTACATTTTAGGATGGATAGAAAACAAAATGTGTTATCAAATGTGATACTATCGTGTGGTATCATCAAGTGGGTATAGGACAAAGTTTATCGTATTATTCTTACCTTTGCACAAAGCTGCAATGCAATTCTACTTCTGAGCTTCCTAAAAATGAAACAGAGCAGTAGAATGTCCAGGGAAGGACTATAATGATCCAGCTTAAAAGATGACTATACTATTGTTGTATGAGGGCTCTATATGAGAATTAACATAGAGTGACGCTCCTCAACTGAGAAAGGCAATCCAGTAGGAGATAGAGAATCTTATTTGGCAGAGTTGGATAGGACTTTGAAGTTACTTGGTCCAATCCTGTCTTTTACATTAAAGGAAACTGAGACATGGACAGGCTGAATCATGGCAGTGCAATAACTGGAGGTGGTCTCTTGACTTGGGTTCTAGGACTCTTCCATTATACATGCTGCTTTTCACAAAGACAATGAAATAGCTGGGAAGATACCTTCACCATAATTCAAGTCAAAATATGAAATTGTGAATGGTCTGAGTAGGATTTCCAAATCCATTCCAACTAACCTATGCCTTAACTTATGAGTTCAATAAAAAAGAAGGTTTGAATGGGATTTTCATCACTCATCAATTCCTTCTAAGTCCTTATACAACATCTGAGGCCAAAACAAACAGAAAAGCGGCCCAAACTCTTGGAAGTCATAAAGCAAGAGTTGGCATCTGCCGTGACCTAGGTACCATCTTGGTCTTTCGTGGCACCTAAATCAAATGGCCTGGAATCCTCATGGGATTCCATGTTCTGTACCTTGTTCAGTGCTCAGGAGTCTGAGAAGAAAACACTCAGAGAAGTGCCAAATTTATTAGAGTGAGAGAGTACTACCCTCACATTGCCACCAACACAGATCCCAGAGATGCATGCCCTGACCCCACACCAATAATTATGGAAAATCTCTCAAGTTGGAAGATACCTTAGAGATCACCCTGTTGACCCTCTCATCTGACGTGCTAATCCCCCTTAAACATCTCCCTCTAGTGGACTGAGGTCAGATTCCATTTAACTTGTAGCCATGATGGAAACTTTGGTCAGCCCTGAATCTGCACTCTGGAAACAGAGAATATTTAAGTACTATACGGTAGTAGAGGTAAAGTTCCTTGGCTTAGGCCCCATTTGTCTGTTTTCTTATGAGAAAAGATTCTCAGAATCCAGTGCAAAGTCCCTGAAAATCCCTCCACCAAGCACAAAGCACATGAAAGGAGGTTTGAGACTCGCGACTGGTAGCTTCATTTTGTCCTCGAGTTTTCAGAAGGTCTACTTCTTGGTCCACAGAAGGCCTCTGTTGCAGGGTTCTGGGGCCAGCCCTTTCCAGGAACGTCTTGTCCTTATGCTCAGGGAATTCCTCCCAGAAAATAGCTAGGTCTGCTGTTCCACCAGCTGTAGTTTGGCAGTCTTGACTCGGTGGGCTTCCTTCAGGTTCCGTGCACGGACCTCTGGGTTGGAAATGAACTCTACTTGCTGCACAGGGAACCAGCCTCGCTCCCCATCTGACAGTCGCATGCCCTCCAGCCAGCCTAGGAGCACAGGGAGGGTGGGAAGAATTACCTGGGACAGACCCATAATAACTCCCTCTGGATCTCCTTCCCTAAAACTTTTCTGAATGGTAAGGCTGAAAGGACTGGAGAGCCCCTGGCATGGGAAATCCAGCCTCCCTTGTGTTAGCCCTGGCTGTTCTAGGTCTGGCAAGGTCTACAACTGCCTACTCCTGGGCCTTCTTCACTCTTATGGGCTGAACTGTGTTCCCACAAAATATATATTGAAGTTCTAACTGCAAGTGCCTCAGAATGTGACCTTATTTGGGAATAGGGTTCTTGCAGGTGTAATTAGTAAAGATGAAGTCATTCTTGAGTAAAGTGGGCCTTAATCCCATATAACTGGTATCCTTATAAAAAGAGGGAAATTTGAACACACACACACACATACATACACACACACACACACACACAAGGAAGACAGAGGTAGAGACTGGAGTTAGGCTACCACAAGCCAAGGAATACCTGCGGCCACCAGAAGCTAGAAGAGGCAAGGAAGGATCCTCCCCAAGAGGTGTCAGAGGGAGCATGGCCCTGCCGACACTTTGATTTTGGATTTATGGCTTCTAGAACCATGAGAGAATACACTTCTATTGTTTTAAGGCACCCCATTTGTGGTACTTTGTTATGCAGCCCTAGGAAACAAATACATCCACCTACAGTATCCCACCTCCAACACCCAGCTTACTCACGGATTCTCTCTCTTACCATCGCTGCTTTGCTGAGTCACCATCACCACATCTGCCTTCTCCAGGGCCAACTCGTCGTTCTCTCGGGGTTTGTAGGCTCGAAGGCACTGTACTTGTGGGGAGTCTTTGGAAGAGAAGAGTGTGAAGAGAGGTTAGGAAAGGCAAGTGACTGGAACACTGAGGGGGAATTACAGGGGGAGGTTGGGAGGACTCGGGAGAGAGAAAGTTCAGGCTTTAGAAAGTTACAGACAAATGAGACAATCAGAAAAATCTTCATCCTCAACCAGGAAATGGTCGAAAAGGAAATGGAAATACCAAAACAGAAATGAATCAAAAATTTTATTTCTCCAGGGAAGATGAATTGAGGAATACGTTGTGACCATCTTCAGTGACTCATTATTACGAATACTCAAAGTCTGTTAAAGACCCATCTTCTCTCTGTAACTTTTCCCGACTCTTTAGTCCTCAATGGATTCTGAATTCCTTTAAAACTAATTGTCCAGGCCAAACCATTTGCCTCTTATCCAACTGCTTTGTGTGTGTGTTCTGCCTCCCCAAATAGATTGTAAAATCTGATTCTGTGACTCATTCTTCATTTCCTTCCCAGTAGCAAATGTGGGACTGGAAGAGATGCAACCGTGGGGCTCCAGGTGTGACCTAAGCAAGGTGCTTAATCCCCTATAGCTTCAGTTTCCTCACTTGTAAATGACTGGGTTGATCAAGATGATTCCTCAGGAAATTCTGGATTTTCTCTATCTCAGTATTTTTGTGAACCAGAGGAAATTTCCATAGTTTTAAAGCTCAAGATAACAAGCCTCAGAGGACTCCTGACCCACAAGCATTCCATCTTACGTGGGTTTATCGCTCTTTCTACATTACCACACTTTGCTGGTTCCCTCCCAAAACAAACAGAACACTACATTATTATCTGTACTTCTTTTTCTAAAGCTTATCTCCTTCTGCCATTTACAAGATGACAGCAAAGGAGGAAGCATCATCATCTTGCCTTCCTTCCAACTGGGGAAGTAAAGGCCAGCAGACAGGTCAGGTAGCAAACAAGTTAGTAGAACTCAGTTTACAGCCTGGTTCTCCTACTTCATTTTCCAAGGTTCCTTGTATTTGTTTGTTCTTTTGAGTTACCAGTGTTCCTTTGAGTTCAGTTCCTCTCTGGATACCAATTAGGGAATTCTTGCTGGAGGACAACTCTGGGGACTTATAGGAGACCCAGCAATCCAGGCTTCACATGAATGCAAGACACATTCATAATATGTGTGTGTGTCTCTGGCTACCTGTGGGTACCTGGCAGCCTGGGCTAAGGGCCGTGATCTCAGGTCATTCTGTACAGGAGATGGTGTGGTTAAGACAAATCTACTAGGTTGCTATTCTCCCACAACTCCCACTCCAGCCCTACTTTCTCCCCATATTTCCCCAAGACCTTGAAGCAGGTGAAATCTAAGCAAAATAATAGCAGGATGACTTAAGGGGACAAATATTGAAAAAGAGAAATTATTGCCCAAGGGAGGAAGTATATGGAGAAGGAAGCAGTACCATTGTGGTGAGTAGTTTTAAGTGGATCATCTCAGGTGCTTAAGCTCCAGTGCTCAGACTTCTACTCTAAAATTCTGGATAGAAGCAGTAAGTGGGAGTCTCTCAGAGTTAGCACCCAGCCTCTTAAACTCCTACATCCAAAGGTGACTTCCAGCCCTGCCATTTTTCTCTCCCTTTTACCCCCTCACTCACCATAACACTCCAGAAGGTCCAACTCCTCTCTGGGCATGGCCAAGGCTGAGATCCATCGAAGCTTTTCACTTCTGAGAAAACAAAGCAGGGTCAATGCCACGACTGTAGCTCTCTGGGGTGTAGGATGAAGGCCAGTGATGGGGAAGGAAAATGACTGTGGGAGAGACTTGTCTGGTTCAAAAAGTCTAGTTTAAAGACATCTCGGACAAAAGTCAATGGGACTTTGCTTACTTGGAAACATAAGATCTTGAACTGTATGTAATTGTGTTTATCACCCTTTATTTTTCTCCTTCTCTCTCTGAGCTTGTCCTCTTAATGGCGTATCTTTCAAGTGGGGGCATAATGTCAACTGTCAATTATATACACATGAGATTTTCCATTTTGTACTGAGCAAAATGTTCATCTCAGTTTAGATACCCTCTACCACTTTGCAGAATTCTCGATACTCTTTTGCCCACCTCCCTTCCATCAAATATCTCAGCGATGGAAATTATTCTGTAATCATAATTAGGTCAGGGAAATATATCTACTAGTTTTTGGGTCATGCAATATAACCCAAATTTATTTTGTAATTATCTGAAGGATTTTGTATTATGTAGGCCTCTGCTTCCAAAAACACTGGAGTAATTGAGAGCTGACACTATTTCTATTCCAGGAAGATGCTGCCCAAAACACTAAACAAAGAACATGAGTCTGTATCTGATTCCTTGACTTTGGTGACATTTTGTATACAAACCCCTATATCAGCCCCTATGTTCCATAAGTGAAGACAGGTATGGTTGATCCTACCCTGAGGTGTCTTCCAAGAGACAAAACTGAAAAGTGTCTACAACACAGGGATCCTTGGACCATTTGGTGTCATGTCAAACTTTTTAAAGAATAGGCTTCTTATATCTCTTATAACAGCAACAGTAGCTATGGTCCTGTAGTTGCTCATTTTAGGCACTGTGTACCAGGGTTTACAGGTATTATTCTTTAATACTCTCCAAAATGTATGTATCTGTGTGTGAATGTATTTATTATTATTATTATTATCATCATCATCATTAAAAAGATGAGCAAATCAAAGTTCTCAACACTATAGATTTCTGCTCAACAGAGGACTGGGTTGGAAGGTGGGAGGAAGGCAAGCTAAAGACACCCCATTGCTTGTCTTATTCACATAGATGTCCACCATCCTTTGGCACTGAAGAGTTTCTGGCTCATACAACATGGCCATTCACTCAGGGACATCAGTAATTCAATTCTTTAGTTACTTCATACCAGCCCATCTCCTTTTGTTGTCTCGCAGACTTTGTCCCTCTTGACTGAAGAGCATAAAATAGATGCTAAACTTTGGTAGCAACTCTGTACCCTTTCCTACCCCATCTCTTGCAAGTTGTCTATTAGCTCTAAGAGTTTGGGTTTGGGGTTCCCTATGGATGCCCTCCAGTCCAGAATAGGATAAATAGTGCTATGGCTGTTTTCTGAGCACATTTTCTGCCCCAGCCCCATTTCCTTCCCAGGATTTCCTCTGTTCCTCCCTTCCTCCGTCCCTCTCTCTCTCCTTCCCTCCCTCCCTTCCCCAGCTCCTCTGCCCTGCCCCATCTCACTGGGTCTCAGTGCTGAAGAGGAACTCAGCCTGGGTGCCCTGTGCGTTGTGCAACAGGAAGAGTCGGAAGAGGTTTTTGTGAGGTCCGTGTAGCTTCATTTCACACTTTTCCCCTCGGATGGAGGAGAAGGGAGCATGATCAAATACCAGGAATCGGCTACCCCTGTAAAACACAAGGTTTGTTAACCCGATTCTACAACTGTTATACTTCATCCACCCTCCTATCTTTGGATTCAAGATCCCTGTCCTTTGCAGCTTGCAAATTCTCAAAAAAACCACAAGATGGAGCTACCTTGCTCCCAAGATGTTAGCTCCAGGGTCCCCAGGGATTTGTCACCAATTTGACAAACCACATGTGCAATGAATACTTCACCACTTTAAAGAGTTGGAGAGATAAAATCAATATAAATTTTCTAAGGCCCTTAGGACCAAAGAGTGAGGATCTGGAATTGGCTAAGAACGTCTAGACTAAGGCTGAGTCTAGCCCAAATAAATGGATTTGAGAATGTGGTCCGCTAGTTTGCTACATTTTGCTCTGTGTCTATAACATAGTCCAAGTCCTGCCATGTGATCTCATGACAGAATTTGGTGGGATCCCCTTTCTTTCTCTTCTCTAGGCCATGACCTGCACTCCATGGGTCGAGCCATTGAGAAGGGCTCCTCTAGGAATATGAGCTTTCTCTGTCCCAAGAGTCCTGCCCTCTTGCCTCATCCCATTCCCCTCTTGTACTCTGGCCTCCCATTCTAGTCACTGACTCTCGGGGCCGAGACAGCAACAGACAGTCATTGAAGAGATGCAGGTGCACTGGACGCGTGTTCAGTTTCCTTCGCAGCCCAGGGGAGAGGCTGAACTCCAGGGCTGTCAGCTCTCCACTCTTCACCAGCCAGCGTGACTGTGAGATGAGTGGGAAGATCTGTAGTTCAGGGAAGACAGAAAAGGCAGTGTCACAGATAGGGCAAGCGTGAGCCTTCCTCAGTCCTGCCCTCCCCACCGTGCCTCCTCCTCATGAGTCCCACCACTGACACTCACCTCTTCCACATTCTCCTTCCTTCTCATAACCCATCCACTTAGACTGTTTCTCTGAGCCCTCTCTCTACTACCGTCTACTGCTGTGCAGCTCCCACGTCCACAACTCAGGCAAATGGCAGGTGCCTGTGGTTCAACCCAGGACAGGGACTACATGAGAAAGCTCAGGCCAGGAAGCCTGAACTGAAGGGGGACTGGCAGACCCCAATTAGGGTATGTGAGGGTAGAAGGCAGGGAACAGGACACTGTGTGCCTTAGGAGTTAAAAGATCTGGGCAGCTCTGACATCTGTTCTTTCTCTGATTATAACCAGAGACCTGAGACGAGCCCATGGAGTCATATGCAGGAATGAGACTGAGGAGAACTAGGTGCGGTCTGCTGGGGGTTGGAAGCTGGGTAAAGATAAGGGTACTGGACTACAATTAACATGTGGATCAGGGATTTTCCCGCTCTTTGAGGGAAGTAAGTAAGGGTGGTATCTGCTCTGAGGTGGAATTTGAATGCAGAATGTTTATTTACATTTGTATTTTGATGGAGATCTTGGCCCTGTATTTGGAATTAATTTCATATTGCTTTGGTCAAACTAGGTGAAGACTTGATAAAATACTGAATGATTTAAGCACCAAATGTTCTCCCTCACCAGCCCACTCCCCAAATGCACTTTCTCCCCCTCAGGTAACCCCCTTCAGGTGACCACTGTCCTTCATTTCCCACGTATCCTTCGAGAGTTTCTCTAGGTATACACAAGCAAACACAGACACAGATTTGTGTCCTCCTACTTTTTCACCAAAGATAATATGCTACAATAAACAAAATTCTGTGTCTATCCTTTCTCACTTAATAATCTATCATGGAGACTGAAGCAGGCATTTGGGTGTCCCAGAAATAGGACAGAAGAGAAGGTGTGCAGAAGTAAGGGCAGAGACCGAGACAGCGCGAGCAAGATGGTTCTATGTTAGAGGGTGACCTGTGGGTGATGCTAAAGTGAAGCTTCACAGATGGGGTGGGGGTGCCAGAGACCGACTCACTTTGCACTCAAACTCAATCTTCTGGCTCAGGTAGATGAGCTCCTCTGTCCGTCGCATCCTCTGGACATTGTTATTGCAGTCCCGGATCAGCTGAATGTCAAGCAGGGTGAGGAGAGAGGAAGAGCACTGTGTTAGAGGCTTTGACCTTGGAGTCCCCTGCAAGAAATCTGGAGGTTGGTTGTGACAGCCTCCGTTTTTTCCTGGCAGGTTGGGATTGAGTGAAGTCAGCATCAAACTGAAGTTCTAGGCCTCTGGTATACCTTGTATGACCTGAGAGGATGTTCCTGGGTGGAGTGAATGTAAGATTTAATCTGGGGACGTACATAGTCCCTTGGTGTGGAGCATCCTCCGTGTGGGAAGGAGGCTGGGCAGGGGATGGGGGGTGGGGAGGGTGTTTGGAGGTTTGGTGGGTGCACTGAGGTCGCTGAGCAATCCCATTAGCATGGTCCTGTGCTCTCTGGAGTCATGGGCCTTTGCAGAAGAAGAATACTCTGTGAAGGCCAATCAAGGGGTCTGAGTGGGTCTGGTGGCTGCTTACCTCCTCCAGTGCATGATGTGCCTTTGTGGCCTCTGCTTCCTCGGAAGAGCCAGGCTGTGTTCTCTTCAGAATGTTCTATAGAACAAACAGTAGGCAGGAGCCAGATGGAAAGAAGGGATGGGAAAACAGGAAGAGGGAATTGAGGGTCGGCTAATGAAGTCCAGGGACAAAATTTTTGCAGCAAATTCACCCTGAGGAAGAAGGGTGTGGGCAATGGGGAGAAGGCTCACATCATCCACAGGGTGTGGACGAGGGGCAAAGGAACGGGCAGTCCTGTGCCTTGGGTCTCCCTGAGATTGTCCCTTTCAGGTGAAGGGGAAAGGCCCAGAGAGGGAGCTGCTGTACCTGGAGCAGCAGTTTGAGACGTGTGATGCGCTGGAAGGGCAGGATCAGGAAGGACTTGAGGGAAAGGCGCTGGCAGACGGGGTCGCTCTCCAGCTTCTCCAGGACCTCTCGGAAACTGCTGTTGCTGTTCCTGTGTGGGCAGCAAAGCTCAAGTGAGGAGGGATGTGGGGAGTACTGGGGACACAGGGAAGGCACGGGGAGTAGAGATGCAGTGGAATGCCTATGGTGGGGGCGTCTAAAAGGTGGGTGGGGCTGGGATCACAGAGCAGGCACAAGAACATGTGCTTTGGGGATACTATTTGGGGTTGGGGTTTGGGAGTTTCAGGGCAAGTTCACTGCAGGGCCCACAGGGGGACTGGATGGGGATCAGGTCTTACAGCAGGCCTTGGAAAGTACGTTCCTGGTAGGTCTGGTTGGTGACATAAGGCAGGTAGACCCGGCGGAAATTGGGAGCATGGTTCAGGACGACATCACACACTTGGAAGGTGAAGATGTTGCTCTCGAAGTTCTCCTCCAGGTCTGAAAGGAACCTGCACAATATTCACACAAGTCTCCTGAGTGAGCAGTTGGCTGACCCCTGCTATACCTTGAGTTTGTGACGCCTCCTTTCTATTAGTTGGTGACTTCTACTGACTGTTCTTAGCTCTGTACCCCTGCTATGCTCTAGAGTTTCTCTCCAAGGCAATCCCTAGTTTGCCCCTGATCAAACCCTCTGATCCTTATATTCCATTTCCTGTTCGTCTTTTGATTCTGTTCTGGCTTTCTGATCTTTACCTGTTTCCCACAACCCATCTCCAGTGCAGCACCTGCCCATTGTGCATCCCGTCCTCAACCTGGGAAGCATTTCCCATTCATTTGTTGATCCATGAATGGATCTAGCCACCCACACACCCTCTCTCCTCTTCTTTGCTCTCCCTATTCCCACAGCATTGGGAATCATGAAGGGAGCAATGAGAGGGCAGCTGAAAGAGAGAGAGAAAAAAAACAACAACCGATGGTTTACAGGCTAAAGATACTGAAGCCGAGTGAGTGGTGTTTGGGAGAAGAGGAATCTCACGTGGTGCTGACTTCACGCACGTCCTGTAAACGAGAGAAGAGCCACTGGTATTCCTGGTTGGAAAGGGTGGCCCGCAGCGGGGCTGAGAGCTGGAAATGATCCACGGCCACATGCAGACTGCGTAGGTAGGAGGCCTCTGACACGATCAGCTCAAATTTGGCCTGGGAGGTTGGAGAGGAGATTAATTTAAAATAGGTATCAAGTCCCCAGTGTACGTGAGCCACTGCATAACATTGTAGGGGCAGAGGAGGGAACAAGTCAGCTCCTCTCATAGCTCCCAGTCACATCAGAGCCCAACGTGGCATCAGGAGGAGAGGGAAAGAGCACTGGAGGCCGAGGGAAGGGCGTGTACAACCCCCTACAGGTGTAAGAGAAAAGGATACTTTTTTTTTTTTAATTTTTTTAAAGACTTTTTAATTTATCTGACACAGAGAGAGAGCACAAGCAGGGGGAGTGGCAGAGGGAAAGGGAGAAGCAGGCTTCCCGCGAAGTGGGGAGTCCGATGCGGGGCTCGATCCCAGGACCCTGAGATCATGACCTGAGCCGAAGCCAGCCGCTTAACCGACTGAGCCACCCAGTCGCCCCGAAAAGGATACTTTCAAGAAGCTTAAATAAATGGAGTGTTTTTGGAACCAAGTATTTATACTAAAATAGTGGCAGGAGATGAAGCTGGGGAGGCAAATAGAGAGAGGTCTGGAGGATTACAAAACAAGGTAAAAAAGTTTGGACTTAAGGCAATGGGAAGATTAAAAAGAGGCTTCATGTAGGGAAATAACTTGATCAGATCTGATTTTTATAAATGTTATTTCTGAGCACGATGTGAAGAAAAGAGTAGATGGGGCAAGGGAGCCATGTTAGGAAACTGCCATAGTCATTCCAGGTGACAGATGGAGGTCTGAATGGCCACAGGGATGGGGAGAGGTAGGCCAGCTTCCTAATTATTTAGGAGGGAGATTTGGAAGAACTTGGTTCTTTGCTGGAAATGGGGCTGAAAGAGTAGCCAGAGTCATAGTGTAATGCCTGTTTTTGAGTTTGGTAACTGAGTGAATGGCAGACTCACTCACTGAGCCAGAGAACTTTGAAAGAGGGACAGATTTAGGGGATGAAGGTGCTTTGGGGGTTTGAGGAGAAATGGGAGGAAGCAGGATATTTGAGAACGAGATGTGCTGTTGTGGTTTAATGGAGATGGTCCAGCACTTGAGAACTTATTTGGAGGTTCCAACAGGGGGCGCCACCGCTCACAGCCCTGTCCTCCGCCAGCAGGGCTGCTCGTGCTCTTCATCCAAGCATGCAATTCCAAGTAGATGGAAGGACAGAAAGAGCAAGAAGACACACACACCTGGGTGATGACCTTCCCATACAACAACACTGAACCAGGACACAAGGTACATTTGAGTACTGGTTCCAACATTCACCGACTATATGACTTTGTGTGGCTCACTTCACCTCACTGAACCTCAGGTTTTCTGTCTTTTTGTGTAGGTACAATGACCTCCGTGTCACAAAGATGTTGTGACAGTCAAAAGAAATGGGGTTGGTGCAAGCACCTTGGAGACCCCAGAAATGCTATTTTATGAAAGGACTATGTGCATAGAAGCATAGAAGCTTCTCTTCTCAGAAACAGGAGACCAGGGCCAGCCTGGGAGGCCTGGTGGACTTCCCAGCGTTGCTGGAGTTTGCTGAAAGAGACCTAGGTTTCATGTCATCTCCTGTTGTTTGGTTCCATAAGTATTGGGCAGATCATTCATTTTCTACATATCCTCCATGTGCTTTAAAAGTTGAGGTCAAGGGGCGCCTGGGTGGCTCAGTCGTTAAGCGTGTGCCTTCGGCTCAGGTCGTGATCCCAGGGTCTGGGATCGAGTCCCGCGTCGGGCTCCCTGCTCCGCGGGAAGCCTGCTTCTCCCTCTCCTACTCCCCCTGCTTGTGTTCCCTCTCTCGCTGTGTCTCTCTCTGTCAAAAAATAAATAAAATCTTTAAAAAATAAATAAATAAAAGTTGAGGTCAGAATAAGGCCCCCAGGTCTGAGCTTCAAAAATCCTAAACATTTATAGCTGCCTCTGTTTGATTTGTTTATCTCTAAGTCTGTCTGGCCAACATCTGACTCCTTCCCACCGCTGAAAGGGGGAGAGTATGGCACTAAAATGCATCAAACTAGTAAAAGACATCATGCTAAAAGCTAGATATGGATACTTCACTTACACCACAGAGCAATCCTGAAAGGTAGACATTATCCTCAAGTTTTAGACAAGGGATCTGAGACTTGGTGGTTATGTAACTTGCCTAAAGTTACACAGCTAGCAAATGGTGAAGCCAGGATTCAGACCCAGGTTGGCCCGACTTGAAATTAAAGTACAGTAGTAAACATTTTTTGAGTGATTGCTATGTACTAGGCACTTATCCTTTTTGCAACCCAGTTTTACAAATGAGAAAACAGAAGGTTAGAAAGATCAAGTGATCCGGCCAAAGTTAAATAGCCAGCAAACAGCAAAGTGGGCTTCACAACCAGGTCATTTACTCCAGAAGTCAAATATGTAAACATGATTCCATGATGCCTTTCCATGGTGCCACATTGTCTTCCGGGGAAGAGAGGTTCGACCCCATATTTCAGACTGATTATTAAGAGAAGCTCTCCATGTGAAACCTGTTAATGGTAATAATGTAACATCACACAAACAGCCTCAACTACAGTATTGCCATTGGGTGTAAGGACCGAGCCAAGACTGATGGTCATTCCAAAGCCTGTATGAGACCAGGGGACCACAGGACAGCTGCAAGGGACACAGCAAAAAGCCACTCACATGCCTTGGCGGAAGAGAAAAACCAGTGTAGTGCGGAACCCCGGCTGAAGAGGGAAATTTTAGTCTGTAGCCTGAAGCAGCAGTGAAGGGATTAATTCCACATTCCTCCCAACAAATTCAGGGGCATGGTAACTTTGTGTGAGCCCCAACCAACAACAGGTAGAAGGAAGCGGCCCACGCCCTGCGCAAGCGGGGAGGAAGGCAAGTGCTAACATCCAGAAAGCAGTGCACATGCATCCGAGGGGAGACAAGCGATAGCCGTGGCGTGCCCAGAGCGTGCGGTGAGTGTGTGGTGGGGACAGCCTGCTCTTGCTGGTGGTGGTGGCAGCGAGGAGGAAATCAGGATGAGACTTTGCCCTCCCTCCTGTAGGCCCATGCCCTGCCCCGACCCTGCCCCGCTGGGTACCTCTTGCAGTTTTTGATCTTCGTGGGTCATGGAGAGCAGCACGGTGCTATTACGCACCACGGGGATTTCCTGCCAGAGGGAGCCACTGGAGGCCATGGACAGGCGCTGCAGGTAAGACTCTGAGGAGACCAGGGTCCTCCGGGGCTGCCGGGGAGAGGCGGACCCGGTCGCCTCTCCCAGGCTGTCCAGCCGCTGCTGGCTCTGAATCTCCTTGTTCAGAACCACATCACTGTACTCCTGGTAAAGCAGCTGAGCTACAGGGGCAAAGAAGCGTGGCAGAGGGAGAGAATTAGGGAGACAGGGATGTTGAGGCTTAAAGACAGAAGCCACCAAGCTGCTTCTGGCTCTCCTGGAGATTCTCTTCCCTGTAGAGATCACAGCCCCACTGAGAAAAGTCATGAGCTCCAGTCTTGGGCAAAATGCCATATGGCTCTATACTTCTGTTTCTGGGTACTCACAGGAGTTGATGAGCTTCGAGCGGCGTCTTGAAAAGCCTCCCATTACCTCCTTTGGTTTTTTCTCCCTGCGGAGGCAAGAGGGGCTCTGGGTGCTTGCTGGCCACTGATGCAGAGACGCCCCAGGTGACCCTAGATGAGATAGTCTCCGATCTCTGGGCCATGTGCTGGGATGTGAGGGCTGAATCCCCTCAAGAGGCAAGCTGTAGCCTGACCCACTTTTAGGTAGTTCAGAGCTGTTCTGGATGTCATGTTGAACTTTTACAGGGGGTTTAGTTCATGGCTAAAGAACCTAGGAGGATGGGAGAGTCAGACCCAGCTGACAGCCAGGTAAGAGAAAAGATGCCCTTACCCTGGAATCCTGGTATATGTCTCTTCCCCTTCCCATCTCTGGAAGACACAGCGTCCCAGAACCCTTGTCAACTAATGGAAATCTCAGTATCCTAAGAAAAGACAGTCCAAGTGTGTCTGCTAGGAGAGAAGGTGACTCACCGAAAAACAATGGTGTCTGAAGGGCCAAGGGATTTTTCTACGGCTGGACCTCTTGTATCTAGAAATGGAAATGGTGAAGTCACTGAGATTGCAGAGGGACATTCAGAGAGCCCAAGAAGGTAAGACCTAAAGCAGGAGATGTAGGCATCTGAGGGAACAGAAGGGCCCAACTGGGAGTCTGTGCAGGAGACCAGTGCCAAAGGAGAAAGCACCTGAGGACACTATTACCAGGTGCGTCACCATCCCTGGTATCAGATGTGAACTGGACAAGAAGAGGATGTCTTCTCTACTACTAGGAGGACCTCAAAGAGGTGTTGGTAGCTGGAAAGTGTGTGTGTCATGGTGAGGGAGAGGGGGATCATCCACAACCATCTTGGGAAAAACAGGTACACAATAAAACACCACCACGGCTGGATGACAGAGATAGAGGGGAAGGAGGAGGAGCACTACAGGGAGCTCAGAGAGGCTTTCAAGGGCTTCCCTCTGTGTTGACGCTGGGTACGCGGATGAGTGAAGCCACCAGAGGGAACAGTAGAGGCCCTGGGGACAGAAGATGGGTGAGGTGGTGAGAGCTGGAGAAAGCTTGGTCCGACATGAGCGTCACCATGATCTTGCTCCTTGCTTACCTGAAGAGCCCTCAGGCAAGATGGAAGGTCTGCGCAGGCCTTGCCGGTTCCAGCCCTTGTGCTTACTGGATCCCTCACCAGGATCTGCAACCTGCCCACTGCTGCTCTCTGGTGGTCTCCCTGGGTCCCGCCTGTGGGGCCAGCTGGATGCCTTTTCCAGATGGGGATGGCTGAGTTTTTCTGCCTGCCTTGCTTGGCCTACATCCAACCTCTTCAGGCCATTGGCTCCTTCCTGAGGGGCTGTTCTTCTCAAAGATCCTCTGGCAGGGGCCTCAGACTCTTCTGAGGGTCCTGGTTCAGAGGTGGGTCCCTGAAGCTCCAGACTCCAGTGTGTGGTTGGGGAAGAGGGACTTAGAAGGGTTGCCACGTTGCTGAAAGCCATGCCAGAGGACACTTCCCTCTTGCTCCTGCTGGTGGAGGCCAAAGAGTCTGTTGATCGGCCCATGGCTGGGGGCCAGGAGGTACGTCCAACAGAATGGGGAGTGGAGACTATCCGCTCTTGACAAACAGGCCTTGGCTTGCCCTGACCCCCTGCATTCATGAGTTCTCCCTGAGTGCTCCTACTCCTCCCCCTGGACTTCGGGGGTAACGGGGGTGGTTCAGTGGGAGGATCCATAATAGGGACAGGGGGTAGAGGCCTGTAGATCCTTGGACTACTAGAAGAAGAAACAGAATGGTGGGGCTGGGACAAATCAGGAGTTGGGGGTAATGGCTTGTTGTATCTCAGCCTGTGGGAGAAGGAGGTCTGAGTAGGATGGGGAGTGTCCGGGGTAGAGGGCAGAGGACGGTGCTGCCTTGCCACAAGGGAGTCAGGAACTGGGGGAAGTGGGCCTTTGGGGGGGCCATGTAGCCCCAAACCTGGGGCCAATGGAAGAGAATGGCCACATCGCTTCAGCGTGGGAACTCCTACGTGGAGATGGCTGTCTCTCTCTACCATGGAGGGGTGAACACGCCTCTTCTCTGGGGGAGGAGGGGGCAGAGGTTCATGGATCCTCACATCTACAGAGACAAGGGGTGGGGAAGAGCCATAGGCAGGAGACTCTGGGGCAGAGGCTGAAGTGTGTCGGGAGCCACATGGCTGGGTGCTACAGGGACTACTGGATCTTTCCGGACTTGAAGTGAATTCTTGAGAGTCCTGCCCCAGAGTAGATAATGAACTAGGGGATTCTGGAATGATCCTGCAGTCCCTACCACTTTTCCTGTCCCTTCTCGGGATCATAGAGCCATAGAGGGCAGGTTTGGGGGCCCTCTGGGGCAACTCTGAATGGGAGAAGGAAAGTGATAGTCCCAGCAGGTCCGGAGTTGGCTCTGTCCTATGAAAGCCTGGGAAGGAGTTGCTCCTTAGGTGCTGGACAGCCCCTGTAGAGTGGCCTAGGGGGCTCTGAGGGTTGGCCCGATTGGAGCTGGTGGATATTTCCATGGTGGCCTCTGCAGACAGGAAGCCACAGAGAGCAGCTGGGGGAGTCTCAGAAGCCCCACAGTGAGATGCGTTGTTAGTCCAAAGAGATGCTCTGGAGGTTTCTGGAGAATGTGCAACAAGAGAGGGCTCCCTCCTGGGAGAGGCAACTAGGGGGCTGGCAGATGATGATGTAGCTGTGCTTGGGGAGACATTGGCAGGACTGAAAGGAGCTGAATCTGGTATCCTTGGAGGAGCGGCTGATGTCCTGGCAGAGACCATCTCGGTCTCCTGGCTGAACACTGCCCTGTTCCCCAGCTCGGATCCCTCCTGCTGGCCATCCTGAGCTGTTTCTTGGTCAGGTGACTCCCCAGCAGGAAGAGAGCCAAGTGAAGAAGCTGGCTGGCAGGACAATCCTCCTGGCTCCAATATAGGAGCTGGAGCTACAGGGGATAGTTCCTCAGCCCTGGGCTCCTTCTGAGTCCCAGGAATACTGGTCATGGGATAACAGGTGTCTAGAAACGCGTCACAGGGAGACGAGAACTCAGGGGCTACTGGAGCCAATGTGGAAGGACCATCACGTGCCCCCGCCTCTTCTGTACTTCCTTCTCTGGCCTCTCCCCACAGCGGGTCCCCATCCCAATTCCCCAGCTGCTCCTCCTGCCCCTCCACTGACATCACTTTGCGCTGAAGCCCTCGACCTTCCTGCCTTCCAGTTACTTTCCCTGATCTCCCCGCTGAGCTTTGCTTCTCCTCGTTCTGAGCATCCATCTTCCTCTCCCCTGACCCCCCTAACTCCCTCTTCCCCTCCTCTCCCTGCTGTAGCTCTTGCTGGCCCAGAGTCTTCCTCTCCTGCTCACTACAGTGTGGACCTTCCAACTCCCCAGAAAGCCCCATTCTTTCTCCCTGTTTTGCAAGCATCACATCACCTTGTATCTGCTCCTGTTTTTGCCTTTCTCCCTCTGTGCCATTAACCTGCTCCCCCGGCTGTTCCTGCTCCCCTAAACTCCCATCCTCCCTGACAGATCCTTCCTCCTGGAAGCCCCCTTCCACTCGTCCCTGCTCCTCCAGCCCCTCGGCCCCCAGGAGGCACATGAGTCCCCCTCTCACTGGACTTTCTTCTGCCTCCGTAGACTGCAGCTCTTCCCCCTGCCCAACAGAGTCCCCTGGCTGGTGGGTCTCTGCTGGGTGCTCTTCACAGGAAGGCCCAAATCTGGGCTGAGCAGAGGTGTCTGGGAAAACCTCCTCCTTCTCTTCTGCGTGTCCAGTTCCCCCAGTCAAAGAAGCGAGTTCTGGTCTAAATTCCATCTCCACTCCGCTATCCAGCTCACTGGATACTGGGACCACGCCTAGATGTTCACCTTGAACAGGGCAGGCCCTGAGCTCTGAGGGAGCCGGTGTCCTCGCCTGTCCATCTGCCAGGCTCTGAGGCACTGCCTCCTGGCGCTCTGGGGTGTCCCCTGTCTCCCCCACAGAGTCTTCCTGGTTGGTCTCCGCACCTGCAGGGGCTTCCTTGGGGAAGGAGGTCATGCTCTTGGTTGCACAGTTATTCATATCCCTTAAGTCTCCCTGCTGGGTCTCCGAGAGTCCTCGTCCCTCTGCCCATGTGGAGGATGGCTCCCAGCCTTCTTGAACTTTGGGCCCCAAGGTCGCGGTCTGACTGCTTCTCCTGAGAGCTTCCGGGATAACACTGAGCTCCGCTAAGGCAGGGATGGGGGTCGAGGCCCCATGTTGGGGCTCCTCAGCCTCCATCAGGGCTGAGCCCTAAAGAGGAATAAAACACGAAGTTTGTATCACCCTTTTTGCTTCTATCTATCAAAGGGACAGACCATAGAGAATAAGAGTGAGACATTGCTTTGGTTTCATTTAGAGTCATTCTTGGAGATGAAAAATACTCAACAAAGTAAGCAATAGCTTCTATGAAATGTATCACTGATTTAGTCATCTAATAAGTATTTACCAAGTGACCTCTTTAAGGGCAGGGCATTCAGTGGTAAACAAGACAGACTAAGACTGTGTCCTCATGGAGCCTGCAGTCTTATGGAGGAGACAGATAATAAATGATTAAATTAGAGCGTGAGACCGTTGTCAAAGAGCATGGAACACTCCCAGGGGCCATTACTCTCTAGATTGTATTATGTCATATGGTCTCTCCCTGTCTACTCTCTGGACACCAAGCGTGACTCAGTCCTGTATAACTCCCAGACACTGTGAGTGACACACCCTAGATCCAAGAGCCCAGAGAAGAAGCGGGGATCTTCCTCCAAAGCTGCTGAAGGCATTAGAATCAGCCTGGCCATTGTAGCCAGTGTCCAAGGTACTAAAGTGTAGTGTGATCTCCCTATGCACAGTCTGGACTTGACTCATCTTATTTTCCATAGTATCTAGCAGAGCCTTGTAACTAATTAGCAATTCTGTCTCCCACTATAGAAGCAGCTGTTGTAGGGGCGCCTGGGTGGCTCAGTTCGTTAAGCGTCTACCTTCGGCTCAGGTCATGATTCCAGGGTCCTGGGATCAAGCCCCATGTTGTCGGGCTTCCTGCTCAGCAGAGAGTCTGCTTCTCCCTCTCCCTCTGCCCCTCCCCCGCTCTCTCTCTGTCTCTCTCTCCCTCTCAAATAAATAAAATCTTAAAAATAAAAAAAATAATAAAGCAGCTGTTGTAAAGTAGAATGATAACTAGACTTACTAGATTAAACCGCAGTAGATACAGTGGTTACCCCCTTTAGCCAGGTCCATGACACTGTGTTACCCTCATGAGCTTACTGCCCCCTGCAAGTTTGACCTTCCCACCTACCTTCTCACTTCCAGCAGAAAACATCATCTCCTATCTTGAAACAATTTAGAAACCCATAGAGAGGAACGACTTCAGTTCCTGGCAATTCAGAGCACCCCGAGTTTTGCTCTTTCCCCCTTCCTGCTTTGACAACCCAACAGGTGTCCCTCCCCTTACACGCCATGTTCTTTAGCTTGTCTTCTCAGTCACCTTATGCGATGGATTTTCTCTTCTTCTCGCACCATCCCCGCCTCTGTTGGAACCATCCCACAACTGAAGCATAGCCATGGCTTTCTCATCTAAACTGTGGAAGGAATTGTTCATACCCGAGGTCCTCACCTCTTCCTATCTCACCCGCCCCCATCCCTGCTTCACTAAGCACCACGCTGCCCACGTCCCCCACGATCGTCCATGTTAACACCAAAGGACACTTAGTGTGGTGGTTCTTGTCGGGGTCTGACACTATTGCCTTTAGATAGACTCTTTCTTGTTTTTCGTGAGACCACATGTTTCTGGTTTAGCTCCGTAAGTTTCTCCAGCCCTCTGACCAGCTGACTGCACTCCCCGCCATAGACTTACCAGCTTTCATTCACATCACTTCTCCTCTGCAGCACTGATACAATTACAGTTATGTGTGTATTTCGATCTATTATCTATCCCAAACAATAGGTGGTAAGCTTCACCAGATCAAGAACTACATCCATCTTGATCGACTGTCTACACCTAGCACAATACCTGGTCCATACTCAGTGCTCAATACATGCTTTTCAATGATGGAACAAAATTCTTGTTTCCCTCCCGGCCCACCTTCCCCAGATCGAATCTGCAGCCAAGTCCTGTTGAGCCCACCTCCTACTTATCCCTCGAGTCTGTCCACTTCTCTCCATCCGCACTGCTAGACCCTGGTGCGCTCTCCTGTCCTCTCTCACCCAGGCCGCTGCACCTGGGGCACAGCCTGGCCGCTGGCCTCCAAACAGCAACTCTTGCCGTCACCAAGGCATTCTCTACACTGCATGGGACCGATCCTTCAATGCCCCACTTCTAGTTTAAATTCTCCAGTAGCCTCTGACTGCCACTGGGATGAAGCCCAAATATTCAGCCTGGGTTATATGCCCTCCACGCCTGACCTCTGCCTTCCCCTGCAGGGGCCTCAACAGCTCTCAGCACCCCGCCCCCCAGCCCCCGTGCCTGTGCTATGGGCCTCCACGTGTACTGCCCCTCTGCGGGGAATTCTCTTCTGCCCCAGCGCACCCTTTGCTTCTCTCACACTCACTGCGCTTATAATTACATATTTAATGTCTCTTCTCTGGGCTAGAGCATGAGCTTCATAAGGGCAGAAACACTGCCATATTAACCGCTCTGTCTCCTTGCCTACAGCTGACTTTGCCCTCCACAGAGATTTATTGCATGAATGAAGAAGGGAAGAAGACAGCGTTAAAAGCATGTTGTTCAATTTTTACTTCTGCCTTGTATGTATCTAGCTAATTCTGCCCACTGTCATTTTAGACAATTGTAGAAATCATTTAATTTACTTGAACACCCATTTTCTTATCTTTTTTTTTTTTTTCTTAAAGATTTTATTTGACAGAGAGAGAGAGACAGCGAGAGAGGGAACACAAGCAGGGGGAGTGGGAGAGGGAGAAGCAGGCTTCCCGCTGAGCAGGGAGCCCGATGTGGGGCTCGATCCCAGGACCCTGGGATCATGACCTGAGCCGAAGGCAGACGCTTAACGACTGAGCCACCCAGGTGCCCCCCCCCCATTTTCTTATCTTTAACAGGGGTTTAAATTGTTCCTTTGCAAGGATTTCTAATGAAGACTAAGTAACATTAAAAAAGTACACTATTAACTTTGAGGGTCACGGAAGTGTTAGGAATTGCAATTACTGTTGAGGAGAGAGAAAGTATAAAAGAGAAACAGAGGATTCATGAGCTGGAAGGACCTTTAGAGACACATGAGAAGCTCTGCCTCACTTACAGATGGGGAAACTGGAGGTCCCGTAACCCAGACACTTGCTCAAACTTCTTAAGCAAATGGTACCGGTGAGCTCAAACCAAAGTCTCCTGACTGACATCTACTATAAGCAACCAGGAGCCCAGCTGGGAGACGTTAGCAGATCACTGGCCTAGAGAAGACCCCGGGGGCCTGTGGAACCCACAGCTGCCCCTGGACCCGCACATTTTTCTTGTCTTCTCCAGGCTTAACATGGAAGCCTACCACCCAAAATGCCTGCCATCCCGCTGAGCTACTGCACAATCATACTCCTTTACACAAGCATGCTTGCACGAGCACCCAACCACGCGCACACACACACGCACACGTGCACACGCGCACATACACACACAGTAAGCCACCCTTGCCGCTCCTATGCAATCAAGCCTGACATAACCAAACACACAGGTCCTTAGCCACCCTGCAGAGGTGGTGTGTGACAAGTTCCTGGCCACCCCACAGACACAGATACCATCTATATGGGGCAAAGGGCCGTGTCTAACATAAGCATACTTGTGGGGAAGGACTTTTATGTCCTCTTTCAGTTAACTGACACAGTGCGTGATTTGCTCCCTATTTCTAGACCTAAGTACAAAATACTATAATCACTAGATGATACTGTGATGTGACCCTATTCTCTCAACCACACACCCCATAAACACTTTATGACACTTGGCTCCTACCTGCCTAAGGAGACTGTGTGACGTCACCTGAAGTCTCCCCTCACCCACATCTGTATTGTCCTGGCCCTAGACCCAAGCACACACTCAAGTCCTCAAAACAAGCAGCCCCTAAATACATGAGTGTCTGCCTGCTCTATTCAGGCTGTATCTCCACGCGCCCTGGGGTACGTGGACGTCTTCGGTTCCGCTGGGGTTACACGATGAATGTCTCGGCCTATAAGCCGACTGACACTAACACTGCCTTTATCCATTTGGAAATACTGGTGGTCACCAGATCAGCCACCATTTACCACAAGGGAAGAACGTACCCTATGTCCCCTATATCTGATCCTGTCCTAGTGATCTGATTGCAATCAGGCATGACCAAAGCTCAAGGAAAGCTGCAAAACATGGTTCCACTCGCATAAAGGCATCAAGAGAGAGCCTTTCTGCATTGTCCATATGTCAGTTACCTTCTCATCTCTTTCTCCACCAGGGATGAATAATCACTGTTTATCTGAGCACAGGCAAAGATGGGGTGTGGCATCATGCTGATCTAGCCTTCCTCCAGGCCAGAAACATTTTGCATCTGCTGACCCTGTCCACATGCCACTTCGTTCAAGACAAAGCCCCAAGTCACTCTGTTAATACAGGGTGCGACAGAGCTCAGTATCTCCTTGGGAGCCCCCCAACACCTGAACTCTTGTCCATTTCTAATCACCAGACAGAGAATTGTATTTCAAAGATATCCCCTCCTCCCAATGACACTGCTTGTTCTTCGAACCGGTGTTGAGCACCATGTGTTTTTTTGAGGATCATGCTTCCTGGATTTTGTAGCAGTGTGAGGTTCAAATATTCTGACTGACACGACAAATCACCGCGATACTCTTGAACTTACAATACTACTGAGTTTACATTGTTGTCTATACTGCTGCTCACGTTAGGAAAATACCTCCCAAATCAAAATGTTCTCACTCTGATTTGGAAAATAAGACCACCATATAGATGAATGCCTTTATTCACTGGTTGACATCATTGCCCCCAATGTTAGGGGCAACACAGATAGGAAAATGAGAGCAGCTTTCTGGACCACTAACTACTAATATCTGTGTTCTATCCACTTGAGGAAAGCTCTACCATCCCAATGAAAACTGTAATAAACATCTCTTATCTGTTCCCTAATGTCTGCAAATACCACATTATCTACTGTCCTGTAGACCCCATCAGCTGACCCAGAACATCATGCTGATGTATGCCCCACAAATCCATTCATGGCCCTGGTGCCATCCACAGAGATAATGTGAGTGTGAGCAACCTCTTTGTGTCC